GAGGCTGGAGTTCCTCTCTGCAGCACCTGGAACGCATACAGTAGGTACTCAGTCTACAGCTCCTCCAAGGAACCAGCAGGAAGACCTCAAGCCCGCCCCACAGAGGCCTGACTCTCCCCTCCATGTGGACACTTCCCTCTGACCAGCCTGGGGTGGCAGCGGCCACCAGAGGTCTCAGAAACCTTAAGGTGGGGCTAGTGCAGAGTGCTCAGTGGTGGAGCACTTGCCCTGGGTTCCATCCCCAGTCCTGAAAGGGTGCGCGCGCGCACACACGTTAGTTAAAATACTGGTTAAATGTTGAGGTGGTGGCTAAACGTCACACATTGTTAGGTCTAGCCCCCTGTTGAGTTTCACGTGGTGTCAGGACGTTCAACCTGGCTGCACTGTTCCTACTGGACTTCGCCAGGGCCCGCGAGGGTCGACCACAGAGGCGGCCACCCGTGCGGTGCTGTCCCTGTTGAGATGGGTGATGGAGTTTGGGTTTCCAAAGGCACTGGCCAGTGGGGAGCGTCACCATCTCCCAGACGAGGAAACTGAGGCTTGGCGGGCCTGAGGTCACCCATCAGGAAGGGCGAGCCAGGCGGAAGCCAGGTGGGGCTGTGTGGAGTCGGAGGTTGCAGGAGCCGGGGTGCGGGTGCGGGTGCGGGTGTGTGCTGGGAGGGAACCCAGGGCCTGGCACGGGTGAGCCCCGCCCCCGACCTGGGGCCACGTGGGAGGGAGTAAGGAGTGGGAGGCAGGGGACCTGGCAGATCCCCTCCAAACAATCTAGGCCTGGCTTCCAGCACCCACAGGCTGTGTGACAGCCAGCCCGTCCTTGCCCTCCAGGGGACATAGTGGTGTCCTGAGGGCACCCTAGGCCAGCGGGTTGGTCCCAAGAGAACAGAAGGGTGTCATGGGCTCAGGGTGCTCTGTCCTCTGATCGCGGCACCCCGTGTCACATGCCAGAAGTCTGGGACACAGAAAGACACAGGACTCTGAAACGCGGTCTGTATTCACATGGGCAGCACAGCCCCGTGGGGGCCAGCCCATCTCAAAGGCTCACTGCCACCTGTGCTGGACAGGGAAGGGGGCAGGGAGCTGACAGAATGACTTGCCCTGGGCCCACAGCAGGAGAGGGAAGCGCCTGAGCAGAGTTTGGGAAACAGGAACACTGGGCTCTCATCCCCTGATTCTATGGGTGAGGGAAAAGATGCTCAGAGACGGCTGGGAAACTGCCCAAGGCCACACAGTAATCCTGGGAGAATGTGGGATGTCCAAAGGCCCCTGGGAGGTAGGGAGTCTGAAGGATGGAGTCTCTAGGCTTATTTCAAGTGGGCCTCCTTCCAGGCAGAGCTTCAGGGGAGGAGAGTGGGGGACTGGTGAGGCGTGGGTCCCAGACACTCGCCCCCTCGGTCTCCGGGCAGCCGGCGAGCTCTGGCTTCGGGAAATGGAAGCCACATTCATCCCTGCCGCAGTGTGAGCTCACTGTCTAGGCATGTGCAGCTCCTGACCCCAAAACCACGTGTCCTCTCCCGACCTGACCCACAGGATGGAAATGGGGCTTCCCGGAGGCTCGGACGAGGGAGGGGACCTGGACCTCTGGCTCAGGACATGCCACCCCGCTTCTCTGGGAGTCCAGCCCCTTGCACCCCGAAGCCCTGCTGACGCAGCAGGAAACCAGCCCGGTCAGTCACTTGCTTCCTGGTGGAGATGGCTGGCTGGCAAGCAAGAGCTGCCTGCGTCCCTTCCTTCCTCTCCAAACACAAGTTCACGTGCGAGAATCAGGGCCTGGCCAGGAAACGGCATTCCAGACCCCGGGGAGGTGCAGGAAGAGGACTGAGTGAGAAAAACTGGGTCTGAAAACTCACATTTAATGACAGCCCTGGCGTCTCCTCGCCCATCCTCCAGCACCCAAGGGCTGTACCCAGTTACATCCGGGAGTCCCAAGTCCTTCAGGCTCCTGAGTCCACACAAGGCCAGGGTGTTGGGCTCTCCATTTAACAGATGGGACAACTGAGGCTCAGAGAGCTAGACACTTGCTAAAGGTCACACAGCTCAGTGGCGAAAATACGGTGTAGAACTCGAGGAGTGGGGTTTTGGAGTCTGGGGTCCGGTGCTAAAGGGGGGCTTGTGGGCAGGTGGAAGTCCTGGTGGGGGGAGGTCCAGGGAAAGGATGGGAAAATGAGGCTGGGGCCAGGGGCAGGCGAAGGGGGACAAACAGGTGGGTCCACATTCCAGACTCCCTAACTGTGGCTCCCGAAAGCTCTTTTGCCCCCGAGGTCCTTCCTCCTCCAAGGGGCTGGCGGCGGAGACACAAAAGGAGCCAATTTTCAGGGCTCTGTGGCCCGCCCGCGCGCCAGCCCGTGGGCGGCCCTGGCCTCCAGCCTAGGCGCCTCCTGGTGGCGGAGGCAGGTGCCAGATGGCACCGGGGCCCAGCCTGTCGTGGCTCTTTCCTCTTCAGACAGGAAGGTGGAAAGATAGTTCTCAAAAGGCGGTGACTCTCAAAGGCATGGGGAGATGCGAACGTGTTAGGTGTTAATTTAACTCCCGCGGAGCCGGCAGACGCCCCAGCGCTTCAAAGGGCCGGAGCCGGAGGCGCGGCGTTCGCGGGTCCAGGGTGTGAAGCGCAGGCGCCCAGGCCACCGGCTCCCCGTGGGTCGGAGGTGGCCCTGCAGCGTCCCAGGCCCCGAAGTCTGGAGCCCAGTGGGTTAGAAGGACGACGTGTGGCTCCGCGGCTCCAGCCGGGAGTCCCGGAGGGGTTCACACGGCCAGTGGCGCGGTACCCGCGACGGCTGTGCAGAGGGCGCGCCCGTGGACCCGTCCTCCTGGAAGCCGGGCTGTCCTCGCAGAAAGGAGGGCTGCGCCCGCCCCAGCACACCTGTGCCCGGGGCTCCGGGCACCGCAGCCAACAGCCACCACCAAGACCGCAGGAGCCCGAGACAGGGGACCTGCGTGCTCTGTGTGCGGCCCCGGGTGCCACCCCAGCACACGCAGCCAGAACAGACCGAAGCAGAAACTCAGAAAGGCCCCTACCAGGGCAGGGGACAGGGCAGGCTGCTCCAGGGACATCTGGGAAGGGCAGTCAGGGGCTGAAATTCCAGATGCAAAGGCCGGGGGCCAAGGCAGGGAGGAGGGTGGTCTCCAGGGCACACAGGCTGGGGTGGGGCTCGGGTCCTGTTCTCACTAGAGTCAGTTCTGAGCTCTGCCCAGGGCAGAGACGGGCACAGAACGAATGCTGAGTGCTCCAAGAGCCCGCCGCCAAGGGCAGATGTCACTCGCTGCTGAGCTGGGCACAGGTGAGGGCCCTGGTCCCCTGCGGGAGGCTCAGCGGCCCACCCCAGCCCCCCGCCCCTGGCCCGTGCCCGGCTGTCCTCCAGCCGCCTCCTGCCGCACAAGCAGAAGGTGGGAGACGGGAAACTCCAGCTGGGGCCTCCCCGTCTGAGTGGGCGCTGCTGCCACAACTTCATTTCTTTCTTCTTTTCTTTTTACATTTTTTTAGCTGTAGCTGGACGTGATTCCTTTATTTTATTTATTTGCATAAGGTGCTGAGGACCGAACCCCGTGCCCCACACGTGCCAGGCGGGGGCTCTTCTGCTGAGCTCCAGCCCCAGCCCAAACTTCACTTCTTGAAGAGGTGGAGTCGGGCTGGGGCTGGGCTGGGGCTGGGGCATACATGGGAGGCGCTGGGTTTGCTCCTCAGCACCATATAAATATAAAGGCATTGTGTCCACCTACAGCTAAACAAATATTTAAAAATATGTTGAGCCAGGATTTTTTCGTTTGTGAAAATCTTCTTCCCCCCACTTTTTTGATGTAAAATTCACATACACTTCTTTTTTGGTACCAAGGATTGATTGAACCCAGGGACACTGAACCACTGAGCCACAGCCACAGCCACAGCCCGCTCCCCTTTAAAAAACTGTGGAGACAAGGTCTCACTGAATTGCTTCCTGCCTCACTGAGTGGCTGAGGCTGGCTTCGAACTCGCCATCCTCCTGCCTCAGCCGCCGGAGCCCTTGGGATCACAGGCGTGTGCCACTATGCCTGGCAAAACTCGTCACCTCAATGTGCACAATGACCTCTACCTGGACCCAGAACATTTCCATCCCCTAAAAGGAGACCCTGCCCCCACTAGCAGTCACTCCCTGTCCCCCGATGTTTCTGTCCCTGTAGACTTTTCTGGTCTGGAAGTTTCCTACCAACAGAACCACACTCTGCGGCCTCTCTTGTCTGGCCTCTCACTGGTCACTGTGCCGTGGTCTGCAGCAGCACTTCGTCCTTCTTCAAAGCAAAACAATACTCCACTGTGTGGCCAGACCCCCTCTGCTCCTCCACACCTTTGGGCTGTTGTAAATAATCCTACTAGAATCACCTATGAACAGGTATTTGCGTGAACACCTGTTTTCTCTTTTCAAGTCTCTGCCTGGGGTGGATTGGGGACATCACACCCAGTGCTGCGCCACTAGTGAGCACCCCTCACTATTTTTGAAGCTTCATTTCAGCCCAAGACCAGGGGGCCTCACTGCTTTGGGCCTGTGGTGAGGGTGCCAGATGGCAGTGGGAGGGGACACAGGGGACATGTGTAAGAGCAACTGCTCACAAAGACAGGAAGCTAGGGTCCCACAGGCTCCTGAAGGCATGTCTCTCCAGTGACCCAAGGACCTCCCAGCATGCTCTACTTTTTTCTAAATATCTGTATTTTTTTTTTAATCTGAAGAGACTTTTAATATGCTTTAAGACTTTTTTGAGAGAGTGAGAGGAGAGAGAATTTTTAACATTTATTTTTCAGTTCTCGGCGGACACAACATCTTTGTTGGTATGTGGTGCTGAGGATTGAACCCGGGCCGCACGCATGCCAGGTGAGCTCGCTACTGCTTGAGCCACATCCCCAGCCCCTAAATACCTGTATTTTATGTGGTGCTGAGGATCAAACCCAGGGCTTCGCAATGTGCTAGGCGAGCGCTCTCCCACTGAGCCACGACCCCAGCCCCTACTTTTTTAAAAAACCAATTTAATCTTAGTTGATGAACACAACACATTTTATTTATTTGGATGTAGGCCTCACAGGTGCTGGGCAAGTGCTGGACTACTGAGCCCCAGCCCGTCTCTACTCTTTAAGGTTCACAGCACCTCCCAATAGCAATACCCTGGGGACCACCTAAACACGTGGATTTTTGGGAGCCACTATCCATATGCTTAAGTCCTTAGGGACATCTACTGGTGACGGCAACTCCTTGGAGGGAGGCATGAGGCGGTCAGGAAAGGATGGGCCATGGGGGCCCAGCCATCTGTGTCCACAGGCCCCATTCCCCAAAGACCACAGTTCAGTGTCACCCAGACCACAGCCACAGGAGAAAAGGGCAGTGACCAGGCCAGTGCCCTGCGGACACAGGCAGTCTAGTCCAGCAGACCTGAGTACCAATGCAGGTGGAGGGGCCCCAGGATGGACAGGGAGACTGTGGTCTGCCAGCTGCAGGTTCCAGCTGGAACGTCAAGGCCATGACCAACCTGGACGTCCTGCCAGTTGCGGTGACCTTAATGCCTGCCCACAGGCAATGCTTTATGGGGGCAGGGCTGAGGAATGGCTGGGCAGACAGAGGAAGTGACCAGAGTCACCTAGGGTCTCAGTAAGCACAAGAGCCCTCCCAGCTCCATGTGCAGAGCACCATCATCTGGGACGAGCAGGACAGGACAGGTCTTCAGTGGAGCCCGGTGGGCACCACCCGCTGGCAGGAGGGCTGACAGGAGGTAGGCCGAGCCAGGTTTATTATTGTTCTGGGGTAGAGCAGTGGAGACGGGGCCCTGGCACGGGACAGAGGCAGCTGAGCACACCCCTTTCTTGGTGCCCTGGGAGGTCCACCTGCATGCTATGGTGCCCCCTCAAGTCGGTGTCACCCGGAGCTGGGGAGAGGATCCTCTGCCTACGGTGCCGCCTGTGGGGTGCAGTGGGGCTGGGGCCTCAGGAGGGTTTCCCGGAGGTGGCAGAGGCCCCCTTCTTCTTGGCTGGGGCCCGCAGCAGTGCCAGCCTCTTGGGCAGACTGGAGCTCGCTTTCATCACCACGTCGTGTTCGATCTTCTTCCGAATCCCAACCTCCAGGTCCTGAGGAGGCAACCAGAGAATCCCGAGGTGGGGAAGCCGGGCTGCCACTCTCCTGCCCAGAGCCCTCAGAGCTGGGTCGGCAGGTCTCCCCTCACCTGGCGCCGGCCTGGGAGTCTGGACCTAAGTCTCACCCACCCACTTCGGGGCCTAAATGCTCAACTTTCTCATGTCTGTACCTCTGTTCATGTCCACTTTATAGATGGGGAAACTGAGGCTATGTAGCAAGGAGGTCCTTGCCCGGGATCCCCAAGCCACATGGGTGCCCAAAGCCTCTGACCTCAGATGACCCTCCTATCCCATGTCATCTCTGCTTTGCTGAAGGTGACTGAGGCTCTGAATGGGGACGTGAACCAGTCTGGCTGAATCACCACCCTCAAACTGCACCTTCCCTACCTACATAAGTTCCAACACCATGATCACCACCACCAGGGTGGCTGACCGCATGCTCAGGTACAGGGGACAGGAGACAGGAGAGTGAACAAGGAAAAATCCCTGCCCACGTGGAGCCAATATTCAATGCAAACGTGTGGAAGAAATTAGTCTCGTGACATGGTGCATTAGACTTTTAAATGCTACTAAGCGCTGCTGTGCAGAATCAGAGATGATGGGGAGGTGACGCTGCCGTCAGGGAAGGTGTCACTAAAGCCACCTGCAGAAGGGAAGGGAGCCATGCAGATTCCCAGGGAAAGAGTCCAGGCAGGGAAAGCAGCCAGAGTGAAGTTCCAAAGTGGACAAGGAGTCACTAAGGGATGAGTAAGGGACTCTCCAGAGGGAGGAGAGATGGGCAGGGCCCTTCTGGCTGAGGTGAGGACCTGGGCTTTTCCTGAGAAGGGGGTTCTGGGCAGAGCAGGGACAGGCTCCCTAGGGCTGCTGTGGTGGCTGTGGGGAAAGGGTGGAAGCCAGGAGACCTGGCAGGGGGTGACCACGAAGTCCAGTTGGGAGGTGACATGGATGGGAAGTGGGTGGATCCCAGACCAATTCTAAAGGGATGGAGAGAAGCGGGAATTCAAGGATGTCGTGAGGTAAGACTCCAGGACCATGGGTGGGGAGGAGGGGGACGGGAAAGATGCATCAGGAGCTCTTTTGGACACTCGGAGTCTGGGATGTACTTGAGACTCCTACCCACCCCCCACAGAGATACGCAGACCACTGCTACCCAGGTTTTCTCTTCCCACTGGGGCTGGTCAAGGAACCCAGGGCTTCTTAAATGCTAGGCAAGCACTCTGCCACCGAGCCTTTCTCTAAGGTACTATGACTAGCCTTCATCCTCCTCTCTCAGCCTCCACAATAGCGAGGATTAAAGGGGCCAGCCACTGTGCTTGGGTTGGGGGTTAGGTACCCAGTTTTTAAAGAATCACACTCTGGGGAGACTAAATGGTTTGCTCAAGATGACGGGACTAGTGAGTGTGGGCTACAATTCAAATCCACGTCTGCTGCCGACAAAACACACCTGAATCTCCCCCCAACTTCTGCCTCAGCTCAACCCTACCCACCTACACGGGACGGCTACACGTCAAGACTAGCACAAAAGCCTGGGCGTGGTGGCGCAGGCCTGTGGTCCGATCGGCTCGGGTGGTTGGGAGGCTGAGGTAGGAACGCTGCAAGTTCAAAGCCAGCCTCAGCAACTTGGTGAGGCCCCTGTCTCAAAAACGAAAACGGGCTCCACCCGTCGCCGCTCGCTGGCCCCGCTCACCTTCTTGAGCTTCCGCTGCTGCACGATGCGCGCCTTCTTGGGGGCGATAACGCGACCTGGGAAAGACGCGGCGGCATGAGGCCGGAGGGCCCTGAGCCCAGCTCTCCCCGCCCTTCCCGGCCCCACTTCTCACCTCCTTTCCGCGGCCCGCGGTTCCGCTCCGAGGCCGCCGCTGCAGTTTTACTCTTCGCCGGCTTCTGCGCCTGAAACTTGCGCTGCCCCTGCGCCATGATCGGGCACCGCCGGAAGGGGCGAGGCCTCGGCCAGCCGTAACCGGAAGGAGCTCGGCACCTGGGATACGGCGGGGCCAGAGGGCGCGAGGGCTCACGGGATACAGCGTGGCTCCCCAGGAGCTGTCAGTCACACCACTCGCGAACAGTTCCCAGTGTGTAAGGCCAACATCACGGGCGCGTGTGTGCTTCCTAAAAGGCGCATCATTTTATGCTCTTTATACATAGAAGCCCGGATTAGGGTGAGGCCAGGCTGGAAAATGTAAGGGGTGACAAAAGCTTCAGTGATCATGGTATATGCTGGGGATAGGACCCATGGATTCTTGCAGGCTAAGCACAAGCTCTGAGTCACACCCCAGCCCCCCAAGAATACTTTCAATGTTTTAAACCATCTTAAACCAGGCGCATGGTACCCGCCAGTAATCCCACCCACTTGGAAGCCTGAGGTAGGAAGATTCCATCTGGGCAATTTAGGGAGAGCTTGACTGAAAGGGGAAAAAAAAAAAAAAAGGCTGGTTGGATTCTGCTCAATCCCCAGTAAGGTCGGGGCTGGGGATGTGGTTATGCTAGAACACTTGCCTGCTGTGTGTGAGGGTTCAATCCCAGCACCCTATTCCCCCAAAAAACAAAAACAAAAACAAATAAAATTCACCACATTCAACTATAGCGTGTAGAATGGCTGCCTAATTTTGTAAATCAAGTTTTATTGGAACCATAGCTGGTATCAGGCATGAGGAGAGTAAACTCAAATGGCAAATATAAGGTTAAATTCTTTATTTAAAATCTTGGAACCATGGAATTATTTTTACATTCTTTTTTTTTTTTTTGTTACTGGGAATTGAACCCAGGGCACTCAACCACTGAGCAACATCTCTAGCCCTTTTTCATATTTTATTTAGATACAGGGTCTCGCTGAGTTGCTTAGTGCCTCACTAAATTGCTGAGGCTGGCTTTCAACTCTCGATCCTCCTGCCTCAGCCTCCCAAGATGCTGGGCTTATGGTGTGTGGCCCTGTGTCCAGTTGCCTAATTCTTTTAAAAGAAAAAAATACTGCATTAGGTGGGGCGTGGTGGTACACGCCTGTAGTCCCAGTGGCTTGGGGGACTACGAGGATCACGAGTTCATAGCCAACCTCAGCCACTTGAGTGAGGTACTAAGCAACTCAGTGCGACCCTGTCTCTAAAAAAAAAAAAAAACGGGCTGGGGATGTGGCTCAGAGTTCAATCCCCTGGTACCTATCTGTCCCCCCCCCAAAAAAAAAGAAAAAATAAAAATAAAAAAATTGTATTAAAATATTATTTCTCTTAATTACTAAGGTTTTGGGGAGTCGCTTTAAAATTTGCACTTGAGGTGTTACCCTACTTACTTAAGGGAGGTACTAGTATCAGCCCCATCTTATAATTTAGGAAAGGCACAGAGAGGTGAAGCGACTTGCCCAAGATAACACAGTGGAGAAAGAGATAGAGCTGGGATTTGAAATTGGGTAGCTTAGTTGCAGCTCTTGGGGTTCTTTTTAAAAATATTTTTTAGTTGTCAATGGACCGTTATTTTATTTATTTATATGCGGTGCCGAGAATCGAACCCAGTGCCTTGCACATGCTAGGCAGGTGCTCTACCACTGAGCCACCACCCCAGCCTGCTGCAGGGTTCTGAAGAGCCGAGCAAGGCCCTGTCCGCTCTCCCTGCTCTAGAGAGCACCGGGGGAAGGTCAGTTTTGGGTAGGCCACTCGATCAATTTATTATAAAACCTGAGAGACATGGGCAAGGTAGAAGGCTGAGGTGGTTCCATCCGGTCCGTGTGGGGTCCCTCCGCTAGGAGACTGTGGTGCTCAGGGCCGTCCGGAGCTCAGCTGGGGCGAAGACACCCAGCTCGGTGACGATGCCGCCCGTGATGAGGTCATGGGGGGTAACGTCAAAGGCAGGGTTCCAAACCTCAATTCCTGCAGGGAGAGACGGAGGTGTGGAGGAAGGATGTGGTGCTGCGGACATTCCCAGGCTCTTGTCACCTGTGTCCATCAAGGTGATTCTTGAGAATCTGAGAGTCCTCGCCCCTGAAGTGCAGGAAGGCTGGGGCAGTGCACCCGTGACAAGGGCAGACCCCTCCATTCTCGGACCGTCCAGCCGGGGGGCGGGGAGGGGGGGGGGCAGCTTCACGGCCTCACGCGCCTCCGCCACCGCTGGCCATGGCGGGGCTTCATCAGGAACCTCAGACCCGCAGGGTGCGGCGCAGCCCGTCAAGCCAGGGTGGGAAAGAACCTCAGGACCCAGCCCTGTTCTGAAGTGGCGCCCCTTTCTCCACTGAAAAGTCTTAACTGGGCCTCTCCAGAAATCTTCACCATGGCTGACTTTAGGACTGGAGCAAAAGAGTCTCTGTGAAAGAGTCCAGTGGAGATAAACTCCCTATTTTCGTGTCGCCCTGTTTACTTGGCCACTGGCCGGGAAGATGCCAGCACTCCAGGTGTGGACACCCCTTACTAGTTTTTCACAAACGCATCCAGTATAGTAGTTTGTAGAAATGTGCAAACAAGGCCTCTGGCCCTGAGCTGGGCTTCACAGAG